TTACTGCAATGGAAACCCTGTGCCTGAAATCGATGGAGTTATTCGAAAAAAGAAGATGCGAGTAAGGCAATAATGGCAGAGCGTCCATAGGATTACAGACGGAATTCGTGTTATTCATTGCTTAGCTTATCCACAACGCAGGAGACCGAGTCTCAGTCTGGGGCAACCCGTGTTCTTCCGCGAGTCTTCTTTGGGCTCTAACTCAGGTATTTGGATCCATAAGCCACAATAGCTCTTTGGGCCCTAGTCTAATTATTCCGGCCCAAGATCGCGGAAAATCCAGTTCGGGCCCAGTCATGTAAAAGCAACACGTGTCTTAAATCCCCCAATTAAAAGGAATAACTGGTTAGGTGGGGTACAACTGTATATATTAAAGGGAAGCACAGAATGTCGTGATATTGAGAGAAAAAATGTGGTGAATTATATGTGTTTGTTGAATTATTAATAAAATAGTAAGCAAAGGTTGTCCCATTTGACAAAGGAAATAATTGGTTAGAAAAGCAAAGGAGGTGGCGAGGCCAGCTAAGGAAGAAGATTGAGGTTCCTAAAAGATATTATGCGAAAGCAGGATGAGGATATGTATGGCGGCAAGATATATGCAGCGAATCACCCATGGAAGGAGAAAGATTGGTGTCGGGAACACAACGTGCAGCCCATCTCATAAATTTTAAAGCTTTTTCCCGATTTCAAAATACTAAAACAAAGCTGCTAATTCAAAACGTTGATTTAAGAAAAAAAAAGTTGGGAGATTTTATTGCTGACTCCTACGCCAATTCAACTCGTGATATAACAAAAAACATCAGACATGGGAGAGTTCGATGTTTTTTCTTTTGTGTCGCATGAAAATTCTGACATTTACGGTTCCTTAACTTCATGGTTAACAGAACATAGAGGTCTGAGAATTATGGCAGCTGATGGGATATATTGAGGCTTCAGCTCCCAATCATTGCTTCACCTGAATCTGTCTGCTGGAAGACAGACAGTTGAAATTTGACTGGCTCGCTCTTGCATGGTTTTGCCTCCTAATTCAGTACAGTCAATTCCATTCTTCTGTAATGAAAAAGCTAAGCCTTTGCCATTTGCAGCCTCATGATCCTCCAAAATGTTTGCTTTCACTTTTTTACTGTCTCTTTTTCAAAAAGGCCACTGCCATTTTGAACCGGATGGACAATAAAGTTTTAGAGAGAGAGTTTGTTTGGTTTGCATTGAGAGGGAAGTTCAGGGATTTCATCAGGAAAAGAACAAAACTAGCTAGATCAGTTATATATAAGTTGAATAAATGTAGAGGATCAGTAGAGAGTGTGATGGGATAAAAAATAATGGTTCCACATTCTCAAAGAAGAAGGCCTCTCTTCGATTATGATGGCATATTATTAACACAAAACAATAATTCTGCTTACTACCATTGCCATCTTGGAAAGCCAAATATTAACTGTGCACAGTGTTGATATTATCATTAATAATGGAGCTGCCCTGCCCATATGAAATTATAGAGGCACCCCCACAATCATAGCAAAAAGAACATTAATTACTTCTTCCTTCCACATATTTCTATCTTCTCAAACACAAAGTTATGTAGAAATTTGGAGTTGTGTAAGCATTTTGGATTACTGAATAGAGAGAGGCAGAGGGAGAGGATGAGAAGTGGGTGGCAAGTGTGTTGGTTTTAGCGTCCCATCGAAGTTAAAAGATCTCCACTAATTATTTATAGATAAAAAAGGATTAAGAGTCATTGCCGACCAAAAATAAATTTTATAATTGGGCTTTTCTATCTCCATTAAACAAATGAGAAATAGAAAAATCAGTGATGAAATGATGATAATGCGCCAAATTATAATACTCTTTTGCCACTTTTATACGAAGGCCATACAGAATGGAAGTCACTATCATTTTCCTCCCATCTGTCTCCATCACAAAGTGGATTTTCAGCTTAGCCTTTTGCGGAGTCATTTTCTTAATAACACTATGTTGCGTGAGAGACTTGAAGATTCTCCATCTCTGTTCTTAATCCCTCAGTGCCATTTTACATTAATAATTCAAATTACTGTGTCAAAACAATAGATTTTGGTTTATATCAACCAAAGATGTTGTTCTTACTTAGGTGACAGGTACAGATATCTGTGGTGTTTGTGTTTGTGTTTGTATTTGTGTTTGTGTTTGAGTTTGGGTTTGTTGGTTACAGTCTCCGTGTACGGCGGAGTGACCCAAAATCCCACCATTTGTCCTCAGAAACCCAAATAATCAAAAAAAGAAAAGAGAGAGAGAAGAAAAAAAAGCCATTGTTGGTTTACTTTCTCAAGGTGCTTATTCCAAGTAATGAAACACTATCCAGGCATCTCTCTCCTCCCTTCCAAAACAAGATGAATCAGCACATTCCATTTTCTACCAGAAAAGTCTGTCGGCTAATTCTTATTAAATTAAAACGCAGTTCTGTCTAGTCCATGGAAGGCTCTATTGCTGCTGCTGCTGCTTCTTCCTTCTTGGAAAAAGTCTTCAGTCCACGCATGCCCCAATTTTGTGCCGCCCCGATTGTTTTGTTTCTTATATTAACTTCCTCCGCCTGCGCCATTTCCTCCTTAACTTAACTTCTCCGCGAAAGATTCCTCTATTCAACGTAAAATCATCAACAGGGGAAAGAAGAAGCAGAAATTTTGAAGGCTTCAGATGGGCGAATCCGCAGTTGTTGCGGCAGCAGCCGTGTCCGTCGGAGTTGTTACGTTCTTGCTGACTAGTTTGCACTTCTGGAGGCGGCGGCGGCGGCGGCGCCTTGTTGTTGCAGAAACCGTCGAGACAATACAGAGTGTTGAGAATTCACAACAATCTGGTTTTGCGACCGCGAAGCTTCATCGCCAAACAGAATCTGACGGCAAAAAACGACTCAGTAATTTTGTTTACCCTCGTGGGGTTTCTCAAAAACCTCTGTTCAGTTGGGACGACAACCCTTCGCTGGTAAACGACGCGGTGGAAAATGGTTGGACTCAATTCGCTTTTACGGGATATATGTCATCGTCTCCGTCCTCGAGATCCCGATTGCTGGGTTTGTGTTCGGCCGGCGAAGTCGAGAAGGAGATCGCGGCAGAGATTAGCTGGGAAGTGAGTCAGGGATCGGCGGATTTTATGCAGAAGATTAGGCTTAATTCTGGGTTTAACAATACGATTAACAACGCAATCTCTCCTTCTACCCCTGCTTCCTCTGTAATCAGAACTGCTCTGCCATTACCGGGACCTCCCCTGGCATCTTTCCCGCAAGAAGCGTATTTCGAGATCACGATTTTGCATATCTCCGGGGATGACAATGAACCCACCGGAACGGCGAAAGAAGGCGAGAGACTTAAACTGATACCCGAGAATCACATCTCCAAGACTAGCTCCGAGTCTCTGGCCTATTTTACACCTAACAACAAAGTAAGCAACGTTGAGGAAACCAAGCTCAATGGAAAAGGCGAGGAAGAGGAATCCGTTGAAGATGTAATTTTATCCATTGGACTCAGTTCCGGCGGCTCTGCCCCATCCAAACTTCCCGGCAGCTATCCCGGTAGCATTGGATTCAACTCCAATGGCTCAGTCTATCTCGATGGTAAAAAAACAATTACCCTACTTTCTCGCGTCGAATTTCAATTTCCAAATACAAATCAAACCCGCCCTTTTTCTCTTCTCGAAAAGGGAAATCAAAAGAACACTTTTAATCCATACATTTCCGGACACTCTGCTTTGACATAAATATATAATAAGATCCATTTGTTTAATACCAATAATAATAACATATCCTAAAGAATCCGACCAATTTCTTTGTTTAATACAAACCTTCCCCAAATTAAGTGTTTTCTTTGGTCATTATTAGGCAAGCTGTGGTGTGGCTTAGTACTCCCAAATTAGGACAGTTCTGTTCTGTTCTGTGTTTCTAATTATGTGGTTGGTTGTTTGTTTGTTCAGGAATCAAATTAGTGTTTGAATCTGAGAAAGAAGACTGGGGAAGATCCGAGAAGGTGATCGGATGTGGGTTCGATCCGAAACAGAAGAAGGTGTTCTTCACGGTGGATTCTGAAGTGGTGCACGTGATCCATGGCAAGTCAGAGGAATTCGGAAGCCCACTGTATCCAACACTGGCGGCCAACGCCGACGTTACGGTTCTGGTAAATTTGGGGCAAAGCGTGTTCAAGTACATGCCGGCCCAAAGAACCCCAAATCCTTGCTTTGTGAGCCCTCTCGTAAATGCCGCCGGTGGTTCCCATGGAAATGGCTACGAAGATAGCAGAGAGCTGTTCTCCATGGGAATGATCGATTCCCAATGGTCTAATCGGACCACTCCTAGACCCAACAACAATCTTGTTGTTGACAATCGAGACATGGACGGCGACGATGAGTCGTCCTATGAAATTGAACTTTTTGAAATTGTCGTTGAAGATTCGCAACAAAAGGCAAGTAAAATGTAAACAGTGCGAAATTGCCAATTTCTTCTGGGTTTCTTTATTTTTTGTTTCTCTCAGCCAATCCCGGAGACGGTGAGTGTTGATAGAATACCAGTAAAACTGAGATTGAATTATCCAAGGCCACAAGAAAAGCACTGAAAATGTAGTTGAGGAAATCAATGTATTGAATTTTCATTCTTTTAATTATTCATCTCTACATCTCCGCCGAGTTGGGCTTTTGATCGTCCTACTGCCGCCTTCTATGGGATCCAATTTTATAGCAATGAAAATCACTGAAATGGTCTGAATATTTATTTATTTTTTCAGTACAGCTAGCATGGCAGGAACTCGAATTCAACCTTGTTGATTGAAGATATATATCAATCATATGAGCTATGTTTGCCAACAAATTTTTACTTAATTTTGTGTATTCATTGTTACATAAATATTTGAATATAGATACCATGATTGAGAATTTTTAATTTTAGGTTTCTAATAAATTAGCAAGATTGTTGAGTTAAACTAAATCAAATTAGTGTAAAATATTGCATATGTGATATGTAGTTTTTTTTAATCCAAGTCTGCTTGCCTTCTCCCTCCAAAGTCTCTCCCTCATCTTCTTGGTAGATTTTGAGAGTTAAAATTTTTTTCAAAAAAATTGAAAACGTGAGGATTATAAAGGATGGGGTTATTATCATTTAAAAAAGAAAAAGAAAATAGTGGGAGATTTTCGGCAAATCCTCCCCAAATCTTCCCTCTCTTCAGATAGCACTTTTTAGGTGCAACACACCGTCCCCATTTGGACGAAATATTTACTGGTTTGAGACTCATTTAACTCAAAAAAAAAAAAAATGCAGGCCCCAAACTATTTGGACGAAATCTTCTGGTTTGTGGCCCATTTAAATTAAAAAAAGACTAAAGATGGTGCATTTTAAGTTCAAGACACGGGTCGAAACGAGTTTCGACGAATTATTATATTAATGTAAAGTCATTTAATATCTACTTAGTAATATATACCTAGTATATTATACTGATGGAGGCTGCATTACAAAAAGAAAAAAGAAAGAGTCAATATTCTATCTACCATCCGAGAAACAAAGTGATAAATCGAGCGAAAACTTGATTTGATTACCTTGCATCATTTAGTCCCAGCGTAATCGTAAGTTTGATGGAAGAAAATAAAGATGGAATATGTATGTATGTATACTTGGATTTTGTGGCCGAAATCGAAACCGACCGGCTATTATCGAGTAATAAAATTTTCAAAATCAAACTAATAATCGATTTCGGTTGGCTTTATCGATTTAATCGATTTGGTCAATTTTTACTTGTATCCCTGCACTTAGTACCCTAACATGTGCTCCTTCACGAGAGGCATGTCTTTACCCTATTATAAAGGACTGGATAAAAGATACAAGTAATAAAGAAAAAGTAATTAAGGCGAGGGGAGATTAGAAAGGTATAATTAACCAAGAAAATCCTTTGAATAGAACAGAACAAAAAAAAAAACAAAAAAATGCATGTTGTGGATAAAATTTAAATAAAAATAAGAGCAGAATTTGTTTGATGCTTGCATGTTTTATGAAATTGGGTGGTTTTGGAAATTCAATGCATCTGCTCTAATTTTCAAATTTTATATAACCCAACAAAATATTAAATCATTCTTAATTATTCTACTTTTACTTTGTGACTTCCTCATTCATTAAATAACATAACCAAACCTAAATTCTTCGTCAATCCTTTTTATATCTATTTAAAGTCAAATCAATTGAATTTGTTTTTTAATCTGCTCCACAGGATTGTCTATATATTTGTTTACTTTTTCCATTATTTTATGATGCTTAAGTTTACGTTTTTAAATTTAAAATTGTAGTCCACGCTAATTAATAGTTTTTCTATTTATGACCCAGTATTTTGTTTAAATTATATTTATTCAACTGACATGGTTTGGGATTTTGGTTTTGATATCACCTGCATTTTTAAAGTATATTTATTTCTTATAATTATTTATTTAAAAAAATAATTGTTGATTAAATAACATTTCATATATACCCCTAATAGGCAGTATAAAAAATATCATTTTTCTAATCGTCAATTTCAATTTATATGCGACTCAAAAAAATTCAATTTATATGTAACTTTTTTGTTTTTGAGTAAATATGTAACTTTATTCTGGTGTGAGATATAATCAATCTATCTAGTAACTAGAAGACAACATTGTTAGCTTAAAATGCTACTTTTAATTTAAAAAAGAAAATTTTTTTCTTCTTATTATAAAAAAAATGAATATATTACATTTTAAAATACTACAACACTATATTTAATATAGGCGGTTGCAATGCAGTCGTTGCTGTCATAATCGTTGTATACATAATTAAAATATTATTTTTGAAAATTTAATTATAAAAATAACGTAAAAGTGACTGTCTCATCGGAGTCTGACTAGCTAAAAAAAAAAAAAAGCAGTAAACTTGGACCTACCCGTAATATTATGGTATATAAACCAACGGCCCAGAAACTGAAGTACGGTTGGGCCAATGTTGCAGTTGATTAATTTTAGAAATTTTTTTTTTCTTTCTTTTGAGGCAATTTTAGAAGAAAATTTGGCAGTGCCCTTTTACATTATGCTATTATCAAAATTACTTTCTAGTGATATTTTTCATATTTATCTAAGCTTCAACTTGAACACAGTACTCCTTAGATCTAGATACTCTGTTTATGTTTATTATTTTTGTTTTTTAGCTCAAGTTTCAACGTCTATTTACCTCCACTAACTTCACAAGAAGTGAAAGCTTGAAGGACAAAACTCTTAAATATTGAAAAATACACACAAATCATCTCAAAGTATTGTAAAAATCAAATCTTCAAACTACATGATCATTATAATAAAATCCAATTTTTTATGTAACTTGTTTTCTTAAATTTAGATGTCAACTCAATTTGAGAACCAAAGTTTTCATATTATTGTTATATTATTGTTTTTGTAAGTCCATGGAGTGATGTATCAAAATTAAAATTTGAAGGGTATAATTCTAACAACTCAATGATTTTTTTTGGTATTTTTACCAAATCAGAAAGAAAATAGAGAATATTACGAAAGAGAGATGATGATAAAAATAGTTTAGAAACTGCTTACTTAAGTGTGACGAGCAAACACAATATGTAAGATATCATTCCATTTAAAAGGATTAGGCTAAGCGCGTAAACTGGTCTCGACACTCACGAATATCAAAAAATAAAATAATAATAAAAAAATTGGGCTAAATATATATTAGTTCTTAAATGTTTGAACATCTTCTCAATTTAGTCTATATCATTTTAAAAATCAGAGACCAAGCTAAAATAATTTAGAGAGAAAACAGGTGGGATCTAAAAAAAAGTATTTTAGAGACAATGTTAAAAAAATTAAAGAGAACGATCCATAACTAGGGAGAGCGGTCAAAGTGAACATTGACATATGCCTCCAATCAAGAATCAATATGTTGTATAAAAAAAAAGTTAGGGAGCGAGAAATGTGAGAGAGAAACAAAAATTTAAGAAAAAGAAAATTTAAAGGACTCGAGACAAATTTTAGACAAATAAAAAAAATGGAGATTATTAAAATCTGAGACAGAGCCAACAAAATTAGACGAATATAGGTAAAAAGATTAAAATTTAGAAAATAATGTTAAAGTTGAGTGAATTGAACCATTTTGAAATTTAAAATAACAACTATTTTAAAAATTATTTTCTTATTTGTTTGTTTTGTCCAAAGAAATTTGATTATAATTCAATTCGTGAATAGATATCACATGGGAATCCTTATAGATGGTTGATGATTTAGAGTGTTTGATGGTCAAAATCATTCGTGTCAAAATCACTTAATTTTTATTAATTGTAAAATTAATTACAGGAAAGTTTAAAATCACTTTAAATTAATTCTTAAATTTAAATTACTTTTTAAGATATCACTTGGATTTATATTTTAAAAAATTAATTATAATTAAATTTTTTTTTCAAAGTTACTCATTCTACTCTCATTCACCAATAGTATTTCACAATTTATAATATATTTCTAAAATTATGAATTGATCCGTAAATTTTTAAAATTATGTATTATAAATTCTAAAACTTAATAAAAAAACATTAAAAGGTCTTCAAATTTTTAAATTTAAATTTAATACGTGTTCATTTAATTTTTATATTAAATATAACTCTTAACCTATTAGACTATTTGTAAAGCTCAAATGCTAAATACAAAAGAAAAAAAAATAAAAATAACCTGTTTATTTAACATCATATTACCTTAAACACAGTTGAAAGGTAATGGAAAAATTTATAATTTACAGAATTTAAAATAAAAACATAAAAACTAGTACTTTCAAGTTTTAAGTTAACAATCTATAAGCAGTAATAGTTTTACCTGCGCCGCGTGTTTTACCGAGGGGAAAGAAAATAGACGTGAAACGCATGGGGCAAAGTCGAATCAATTACTCTGACATTTAATCACCCTAGGGCACACAAAACCAATCGTTTGATCAGTAGTTGAGGTTGCGCATCACCATGGAAGCTCCAAAGCTGAACGTCTTTTTCTTTCCCTTCTACACGGCCAGCCACCTTCTTCCGATGGTGGATGCGGCCAGGCTATTGGCAGCCCACGACGGAGTAATCGCCAACATCGTCACCACCCACCGGAACTCCCTTTTGTTCGA